TGTCCTCAAATGTGTCCTGATACAGTTTGTCCTCAGATTTGTCCTGACTCAGTTTGTCCTCAGATGTGTTCTGACTCAGTTTGTCTTCAGGTGTGTCCTGATTCAGTTTGTCCTCAAATGTGTCCTGACTCAGTTTGTCTTCAGATGTGTTCTGAATCTGTCCTTAGATATGTCCTCAGTTTGTCCTCAGATTTGTCCTGATTCAGTTTGTTCTCAAATGTGGCTTGACTCAGTTTGTCCATTGATGTCTCCTGACAGTTTTGACCCTTAAATATGTTTTGATTCACTGACTGTTCTAATCTTTGTCTTGACACAGTGTTTTCAAATAAATCCAGTCTGTTAATGCAGCGCTGGTTAACAACAGTTATCTCAGGACACCGAAATATTCATGTACATTATAAATTGACAATTAGTAAAAACAGCACAGCAGGATGTGCTGAACCTTCACTTTGTTATTATCTCCCATCCTGAGAAGCACATTGTGGAAATGAATGACGTCCAAGAAGAAACCTCCAGCAGAACCAGAACCAGGCTCATGATGGGCATCAATCTGCCTTTACTGGCTGGGGTTAGAAAGCACAGGAGAGACACAAACACATAATGACAGGTCCAGGTGTAGTTTCAGTGTTCCAATTGTAGTTCCTTTGATCCAGGTGTAGTTTCTATGGTCCAGGTGTAGTTTCTATGGTCCAGGTGTAGTTTGTATGGTCCAGGAGTGGTTTCTATGTTAATGATAGAAATAATCACAACGGCAAACATGGAGTCTAGATCGAGTAAATACAGCAGCAGAGTGAGGAAATGTGGTCAGTTTGTCCTCTAGCAGTCTGAGCCTTTAGCTGCTGAACTAAGGGATAGGATTGAAGTGATAGGATTTATCACAAAGGAAAGTCTTCTTCTTTGTCTTAAATGTACAAAGTAGACAGAGTTTCAGCCTTTCAGACAGAAACTGGAAGTTGGATCCACAAGAAAAAAGGCTGACAACTGAAAACTCTGCCTCCCATTCTACTTTTAGAAACTCAAAGAACCAGAAATAAACCTGCAGTCTGAGAGTGAAGTGTTCTGCAAGGAAAATATGAAACATTACTGTGGGATTCCAGTGTTTTCTGTAACCACTTACTTCTTTTCCTTCATGGAAAAACTAAAAGCAAGTACATTGATCTTGTACTAGTGACTGTAGTGAGTTTTTAAAAGTGGAGAGCGAGATGAATGAGCCAAGCTTTAAGATGGTTCAAGTCATCTGCATCAGGCAACGGGAACGAGGAGCGACCAAAGGAAGTTTATGCTTTAGGTGTAAGGAGATTGATGTTTAGTAGAACACAAGCTGAAATCAGCATTGTGAATAGTAATAAGTGACTATAAGTATAACAGTTTTCCAATGAGAGTTTTGTAAATTAACAGAAACCATTGAATTTGTCTCTAAGAATGAAGAGACAGTTTATCATGGTGTGCAGATCACAATGGTGTGTCTTAAATAAAGCTCCAATAACAAACAGGATGACTGACAACATCCAGTTTGTAAAGAACAGTTTTTGAGGCAGACCTGTAAATCACATCAACATAGTCCAGGATAGGAAGCACCGTCATTTTAACCAGAAACTATTTGGCAAAATGTGTGAAGGAAGATGGGCATCATGGTGGTGCAGTTGGTAAAGCTGCTACCTCTCAGTGAGCAGGTTACCCTGGTTCAAATCCTGGTCCGGGGGGCCTTTCTGGGTGGAGTTTGCATGTTCTCTCCGTGCATGTGTGGGTTTTCTCTGGGTACTCCAGTTTCCTCCCACCGACCAAAAACATGCACATTAAGCTGATTGGTAACTCTAAATTGTTCCTAGGTGTGAGTGAGAGAGTGAACAGGAATGCGTACAGAGCTCTTCTTCGCCCCCATCTTGGCCTCTCCGACCACATCTCAATCCTGCTGGCACCAGCAATATCGTCTGCTGATGAGACAGCTTAGACCAACAAAGAAGACAGTTACCATGTGGCCCAGGGATGTAGAGTCTGTGATCCAGGACTGTTTTCAGAGCACAGATTGGCAGGTCTTCAGAGAGGCGGCTACATATGAGGGAGAGGTGGACCTGGAGGAATACACCTCCTCTGTTCTTGGCTTCATCGCCAAGTGTGCTGATGATGTCATCACCACCAGGACAGTACCTGTTATCCGAATCAGAAACCCTGGCTGAATGTTGAGGTGAGAAATCTGCTGAAATCTGGGGATGCTGCGTTCAGGACAGATGAGGCATCAGCACTCTGAGAGGTGAGGAAAAGACTGACTGCAGGCATTGCAAGGGCCAAAGCCACATATGCCCAGAAAATTCAGAGTCACTTCATCACCAATGACCCCCGGTGCATGTGGAAGGGCATCAATTGCATTACGAACTACATTATGAGAGATTCACAATGCCCAAGGGACCGCTCATTACCAGAGGCACTCAATAAGTTCTATGCTCACTTTGAGGATCCTAACACCCCACCCCAGCACCAGACTTATACCACCACTCGGTAACATGCCCCTCTGTGTCACCACAGCAGATGTGAGGAAAACTCTCCAGGGAATCAACCCCCGTAAGGTTGCAGGCCCCGACAACATCCCAGGGCGGGTACTGAAGGACTCCGCATACCAGCTGTCTGAGGTGTTGGCGGACATCTTCAACACCTCACTGTCAATGGCAGTTGTCCCCACCTGCTTTAAGTCTGCCACTATTGACCCTGTACCGAAGTGCTCCACAGTGACGGGCCTGAATGACTACCGACCTATAGCCTTAACATCGGTAGTCATGAAGTGCTCCGAGAGGCTCGTCATGACCCACATCAAGGACTCCATCAACATCACTGTGGACCCACATCAGTATGCCTACAGAAGGAACCGCTCCACGGCTGACGCCATCTCATCAGTGGTCCACACAGCCCTCACCCACCTGGAGAGCAGAAATTATTACATCTGTCTGCTCTTTCTAGATTTCTTCTCAGCCTTCAACACCATCATCCCACAAACCCTGGTGCAGAAGCTCTCCTTTCTTGGACTAAGTCCCACACTGGGGAACTGGATTCTGGACTTCCTGACTAACAGACCTCAGATTGTAAGGATCCACAACATTGTCTCCTCCTCCATCACCCTCACAGCACTGGCTCGCCCCAGGGCTGCGTGCTGAGCCCCCTCTTGTTCACTCTGCTGACATATGACTGCCCGGCTAGACACCCCCAGCTGTTATAAAGTGAAGTTTGCGGATGAAACAGCAGTAGTGGGATGCATCAAGAACAATGATGAGTCCAGATATAGAGAGGAGGTGGAACACCTGGTGCAGAGACAATAATCTCTGCATCAACGTGAAGAAGGCCAAGGAGATGGTGGGGGATTTCAGAAGGGGCAAGGATCCTCTTCATCCCCTACACATCGGAGGAGCAGCTGTGGAGGTGGTCTCCAGCTACAGGTACCTGGGGGTGCATTTATCCAGTGACCTCACCTGGAGAGCCAACACTTCCTGTCTGGTCAGGATGGCCCACCAGCGTCTCTATTTCCTCAGGAAGCTGCAGAGAGCTGGACTTGGGAGCTCTGTCCTGAGGAGCTTCTATCGCTGTGTGGTGGAGAGCGTTGTCTGCACCTGCATCACCGTGTGGCACGGCAGCTGCACTGCTGCTGAGAGGATGGCTCTGCAGAGGGTGTTTAAGGCTGCACAGAAGACTGTGGGGAGCAGTCTTCGCAAAAACAACTCAGAACTTTACACAGCATGATTGGGGGGGGCTTCGCATCATGAAGGACTCCACTCATCCTGCACACAGTCTGTTCCAGCCCCTCCCCTCAAGCAGGCGGCTTAGGAGCATTCAGAGCAAGACCACCAAGCTCAGAAACAGTTTCATCCCTGCAGCTGTCAGACTGCTGAACTCTTGTATTTATTTATTTGTTAATTCTTAGGCTTCTTGATCTGGGACCTGAGTTTGAATTTCGTACCATAAACATGCAAATGTGAGCTGGTACCACAATGAAAAATCATTGAATCCTTGAAATATAACCCAGTAGCTTCAAGCTGTTTGTTGTCAGTGTCTTAACTCACACGTGTGTCAGTGTCCTGACCGCATTTCTCTGTGTCTCCGTTCAGAATCTCCATTCTTCAGTCACAAACATCAGGCCTTCAGGAGGAGATCAAAAGAAGAAACTCTGAAAATCAGAGGCTGTGGTTACCAGTAGCCCCATGTACAAAAGGTGTGTAAGCGCATCATAGTGGTGTGGACCCTTTACCACAGAAAAGTTCAGATGGATCAAATTATAAATGAACTTGGAAACATTCAGTAGCCTCATGCCAACTTCATTATTTGTGTTCACACTTTACTAGAGGTTTTAGTCTTTGGGCAAAACTCAGAGGATATTTTCAAAAACTAGTGATGAAAATCAATGTTGTTGTACTTCAAAGTGAAATTTCCTACTTCCCCAGCTGAGCCAGAGGATCTGTTTACACATGGCTTCATCACCATGGTAGTAGTTTTCATTAACTGTCAGTAAGAAGCTTAAGTTGCTCACAGATTCTGGTTTTATCATTATCCCAGAACAAAGCAGTCAGACAGTAACATTTATAGCTCATCATAGTTCAGTGCAGTCCAGGGACATTTAAAATAAAGACTGAAACGTCACAGAGAAATTAAAATATTATGTAATCTTAAGTCAGTTCACACATTTCTGCACTGATTAAATGTTGGCTTTGGTCACCCACAGACAGTGTTTATTCAAGGATATAAATTACAGTATATAAATCGTACAGTCTGTTTTAGGCTAAGGATTCTAATCTAAAGTTAAAAAAAAATCTGTTTGTCTAGGATTATTAGTTTTTAATACACCTGATTTTTAGCATAAGAAATGGCAACAACAAACAAAAAAAGTTTGGAAATTTGAATACATCATCAGAGTTTTTGTACCCTGTCGCGAAGTGAAAATGGGAATTGGAAATAACTTTTGTCCGTCTGTCCATCCGTGTATGTTGTGAACATGTTAACTTGAAAAATAAGTGAGTTATCAGCTGCTGTTTTTGTGTGTGGCAACATCCAGATGTAAGAAAGTTTCCTTTAGAATACTGAGTTGCTACATCAAAAGCCAAGATGGTCGCTACCATATAAATATGTAAACCAACCATCCTTATCATTTGAGGAAACTATGCTCTCTGTTTTGTTATATTGCCTTAAAGCACAGTTCCCTTAAATGATTGGACTGGCCAAAGATTAATCTATGGGGGCCAAGGCCACTATTACCATTTAACTCAAACCAGGTGTGTCAAAGCAGAGAAAGATCTAAAATGTGCAGGATAATGGCCCTAGAGAACTAGGACTGCACACTGCAGAATTAAACCGAGCCCGTTGTATGACAGAAGACGGGCTCTAACAAACGAAATGGTCCTCTGGACATGTGACGTCACAGCAACCAGTCTGAAGTTGGTAGTGTTTCTTGGGTATCTGGATTTGGGATTTGTTGACTCTTTTTCCTGCAGCCAACTCATGCTGAAGATGTGTTGCAGCAGGATGCTGGACAGCAGGGAGTTGCAGGGCCAGGGGTTGAATATAATCTAGGCCTGCAGACTCGCCCAGGTGATTTTTCTCCAGTTGTCTCCAAACCTGGCCTGTTGACAGTCTGATGGATGTTTAGCCAGTGAAGCAGAGATGGAGGGTTGTGGTCAGAGGAGTTCAGCTGTGTTGCTATAGACCCTTTTCACAATGATGTAGTGAGTCACGTGGGTACGTGTCACTTGTTGTATGACAAATATATGTGGTATATATTTATGCATACTTTTCACGAGTTCTTCATTTTTCTGACTGTAAATGCCGTGCATTGAATTTAACAGAAATGTAACGAGAGACGTTATTACCTTTGACCCATCAAATGAATGGAGTCATTTATTTTCAGAATCAAAGTTTAACATCAAACATTTACATTAATTTGGCAAAATATGAAAATAATAACAGACAGTTTCACAAATAATGAACTTCAAATCACTCGGCGGTGATTTGAGGACTTTGCTTCAGATATTTCTAAAAATATCTGTACTGATTTATGAGAGAGAGGTGAGTTTAAGAGGAAATTGAGATTTATCTTACAGAGGAATATGTGAGGGAATTTAATCTGTTTAACCAGAAATTGCACGCTCCGTCAGGTATCTCAGCTTGTCCCAGGTACACTTTAGTCGAAGAAGAAACCGTTACCTTGTTGACGATCGATCACCTCAGTAAGAATCCTTTTCAACTGATATCAGCGTCTCCGTTGAGAACAGCTAAAATCCTTGGAGAGTCGTGCGTGGTTAGCTCAAAACAGAATTATAATCCCAAAACGTCTCTGGATTCTAGTAACTCTGACTCTTCATTGTCAGCAGCTCTCAGACTCTTTCAGATCTTCTCAGACTCTAACTCCAAAACTCTCCATAACTCTAGTTCTCTTCTGAACTCCTTCAGAACTTTTTCATTCTCGGAATCTTTTCCATTCTCTTCTCCCGACATGAACTGGGAAGTTGCCACATTTTATTTGGGTCGACTTCCGGTTCAATTTAGAGCTTTCTGATTCGTGGATGTACCAGAAAGAGGTGTGGTTTTTTGACGTAAGTTATTATCAAAAGTCAAGGATTGTTTTCAACATACAGAAAAGATTATTGCAGTCGGCCAGACTTCGTGGAGTCTCACACTTGGTAATCTTTTCAAATAGTAAAACATGACATTTCTTCTTCAGTAAACATTTAGTTGACCGAAGCTTCAACTTTCACATACTTACGACTTGGATCATTTCAGACAGAAAATCAAGAAATGCTTATTAACCTGATTTCTCCTTTGAATGAGGAATAAAAATCATTACTTACTGTTTATGTAAAATAAAAATGAGTAGTTCTTTTCAACCTGTAAGCATTGAGTGAAACTAACACAATTTGATTATCAAACATTTGTAAAACAGTAATGATTATAGAGGATTGTCTTTTCTGCTTGATTAATTCAAGAAAGAAAGTCATCAGATGGCCCAGACTTATTCAGATCAATGAAAATAACAGTCTCTGTCCATCTGGTAGATTTGAGGTCATCTAGTTCACTACAATGACGTCAGACAACTTACGTTCTGACTCGCCACAGCGTATCAGTACTTCCGGGTCTATTCTCCCTCGGGAGACCTGTCTGGAAACTTCACGGAATTTCATTCATTCAACCTTTATTTATAGAGGTTAAATAACAAGGTATAGCACAAGGTAAGGTTAATAAAAATAGTATTTACATGTTTGTCAGCCGTGGTAACGTTATCCATCAGAGCAGCAACTTTAACCACAGTAGCTAAAATATACAACATGGACTGTCAGTGCTCTAACGTTTAAAGGTTTACTTTCTATGTTAACTTTAATAAAAACAGTATTTAAGTGTTAGTTAGATGTGGTAACATTATCCATCATTATCAATTTTCCATTCTGTAACTGTGTAAGGAAACAGTCTCAAAGTAAGCTAGCTAGCAGCTAACAGGTAGCTAAACTCTACACTGCTGCTTCCTGTCAGTGCTGTAACATTAAAATGTTTACTTTATCTATTAATGTAAAATCTCTGACATCTTCCAACATTGTTCTTTAGAATAGCATTTTAAATATTGAATTAAAAACTATATGTCAAACCATTTCTATGTTCTGATGATTAATAATTTCTCTTTTTACTTTTGTCTTGTGTCCATCTTCCTCAGCAGCAGCTCATCTAACAAGCATGACACACTCATCAAGATGTTATTGTTGCAGTGTGCCATGTTGTTCCAATAATAAACAAAAAATACCATATTTGAGTTTCCACTTTGAAAAAAACTTTTATATATCTTCACCTCAGAACTGTCAAGGCAGTAATGAGTAAGTAATTGGAGAAATGCTCTAATACAAAAGATAATTGATAATTGAACAGGAAATTGATAGGTGGATAAGTGATGTCTATTAAAGTTTATACTTTCTTTTCCCTTAGGAACTGGATGATGCTGCATGGAGAAATCAAGAGTTGCAGAGACAAGTTTTGTCTTTAGAAATGGAAATCCAGCAGCTGACAATTAAGAAGTGCCCTCCTGTGTGTGTGTGTGTGTGTGTGTGTGCGTGTGTGTGTGTGCGTGTGTGTATATATATATATATATATGTATATATATATATATATATATATATATATATATATCAATCAATCAAC